ACCAGAGACCTGAGGTCAGAAATGGCTTCATGACTTTTTCAACTGATCTTTTTTCATAAAAAAAAAATAAAATCACCCATTTTACATAAATAAAGCTCTTCGTAATGTGTGAGCTGTGCTTTTGAGTACAATTTATTATTATTATTATTATTATTCCCTTTGATTTCTGTTCTATACACATTTCCTTCCGGGTCCCAACCAGAGACCTAAGGTCAGAAATGGCTTCATGACATTTTCCTTTGATCATTTTTGTAAAAATATAGATAAATCAAAACCCTAAAATCACACATATTTTATATAAATTAAGCGCTTTCTAATGTGTGAGTTGTACTTGTGAGTATATTTTTTGGTATTTCTTTAAGGTATAGGCTACCAGGAATCCCTTCAACAAGTCTATCGGAACCTTTTCCAATCAATCCGAGTGCTCCAACTACAACTGGAATTATTGATGTCTTTATGCGCCACATTTTTTTATATTTATTATTGTTGTTGTTGTTGCTTCACATGTTTTTTTTCGTTTTTAACTTACATTACATTTCCATCTTACATTATGAGTGAATGTTCATCATCGTATAACTACTGCACCCTTCACAGAATGTTTGAAGTGCCAAGCGATGCAGAAGAGATGGAATACCAGGCGTAAGTCCAATTTTCTCAATATAGGATTTTACGATCGGTGATATTGACGCCAAAGCTCCAATAAAAACTGGGAGAATAATCGTCTGAAGGTCATACATTCTGGCAAGTTCAAGCCGGAAGTCGGTGTATTTCTTGAGCACTTCAATTCTGTTTGACCTTGATATTTTGCCAGAATCTGTCTTGCATAATTATAAGTTTACCATTCGTCCTTGCGTTGAATATTGCTTCCACATCTGGTTTGGTAATCCTGCTTTATAATTATAGACTCTTGATAAAATCCAAAGAAAAATCAGCAATATTATTAGTCCTGACCTGGCCTCTCGGCATCAGTCACTTCCCTACCTCCGTAATGAATCTTCCATGTGCCTTTTCTATAAATACTTTCATGGAAATCGTTCTGATGAACTTTCCGCTATCATTCTTAGATTTTATGAATTTAAGCGCAATAATATATTGGCGTCAAGATCTCAGCAATTCACAGTTAAAATTTTCTACATGTAACCGTAAGTTCTATGTTAACAGTTTCTTCTCTCTCACCTTTCGTTTGTGTATCGTTAACTAACAGAGGTGCAATAACGAAAGTCGAAAGCACACGAAATAATCATCAGGAGACTCAAGAAAAAATACATTCAAATCATTGCAATATCTCCTGCTAAGAAAGCTTGTTCTCTGTGTTGTGCTAGACAATTTTTCTCGTCTACCATTCATTCATGCTTTGCATATCTCTGCCAGATATGGTCCGATGCTCCTATTGTATATTTAAAGATTTTTGATAAAATCCAAAGAATCAGCAATATTAATGGTCCTGATATGGCCTCTCGGCTTCAGTCACTTTCCCACCTCTGTAAGACGCTTTCATGTACCTTTTCTATAAATACTTTCATGGTAATTGTTCTAATAAACATTCCTGTGTGGTACCTAGGCTTAATTTAGTGCAGTATAGATTGGCGTCCCTAATTTCAACAATTCACAGTTGAATTGGCTAGATGTAACTGCTTCTTGATAAAATAGAAAAAAGAATCGACAATGTTAGTGGTCCTGGCATGGCATCTCGGCTTCAATCACTTTCTCACCACCGTAATGTTGCTTCCTCTCTGCCTTTTTTTAGAAATTCTTTAATGGTGATCGTTCTGAACTTTCGTCTATTTGTACATAGACTTTATGAATTCAAACGCAGTGCTAGATTGGCAGATAGGTCTCATCATTTTATAATTGAAATGGCTAGTTGTAACCGTAAGTTCTTGAGCTTGTAGGAACGAATAGATCAACGGAGTGGGAGGATAGCAAAAAGAAAACCGTCACTAAAAGATGCAAAAGGAAATAGTAGAGGCCCATGATCTTCCACGTTCTGAAGAGACACTGCAGATAAAAGATGTTGCACGTTCCGACTTTCAAATCAAACAAAAACAAAAAAAGAAAAACAATGCGTTTCTTAAAATAGCCTAAATTTTCTTTTCTTTCCTTCCTCACGACCCTGATAATGCCTCAATTAAGTCGATTTATTGATTTGTTTGTTTAATGGCATATCAACATCCTTATGGATCATTTAATACCGAAATTTGATTTCTTTTGGGAGTCTTGAAGTAATAGAAATATGATATATGTTATTCTGCCTTCACAACTGAATACATGGTAGCTTTTATGCATATAAACGGTGTTCCAATAACTTGGACCGATTTTAGATGTGAATTAAGTTTAAGCGTCTAATTCTTCAGATTTGGCGGTCATTTGGGCTATATTATTTTTCACACATAATTGACATGACTTAAATAACATGATACAAAAGAGAAATAAATAGATTTTCACAATTAACACTTATTTACTACTGACTTTGATCCCTCTTAATGAAACACCTTTTACATGTGGAAATTATTAAATTAAAATTAATAATGTGTGTGTTTTATGTTGTAGTTCTGTGGAAGTTATATTTTGGAATACAGTTTGATTTCTTAAAGGAATCGTAGGATATTATATAGATTAATGTCATTACAGAGTTCTTTCATTTTAGTTGTTTGGTTGATTTTATTTAGTGGCATATCAACACCTCTATGGGTTATTTAATGCCGAAATCTAAATAATTTGAACGTAATTGTATGCCTTCAACTACAGATAAACTGTATTGTTGGTTGATTTTGTTTAGTGGTATATCAACACCTCTACGGGTTATTTAATGCCGAAATCTAAATGATTTGAACGTAATTGTATGCCTTCAACTACAGATAAACTGTATTGTTGGTTGATTTTGTTTAGTGGTATATCAACACCTCTATGTGTTATTTAATGCCGAAATCTAAATAATTTGAACGTAATTGTATGCCTTCAACTACAAATAAACTGTATTGTTGGTTGATTTTGTTTAGTGGTATATCAACACCTCTATGGGTTATTTAATACCGAAATCTAAATATTTCGTACGTGGTTTTATGCTTTCCACTACAGATATTTTGTACATAATTTTATAGTTTCAGAGTAAAGGAATTTTTTAAATATATATTTTGTAAATCATAAAATGTATTGTTGGTAATTTTACTAAAAAAATGAATATTTATATTTAGTATTGTTGCATTTATTTTCATTTTGCTATAAAATGTATTGTTTGTTTTATTATACAAAATGTTCCGTTGATTTTTGTTTTGGGGTTCACTGTTTACCCATAGCTGGGACCCTAACACGTGATACTGTAACAATAGAGAAAATGGCTTACCTCGCATGTGTAAAATATTCTCAAAAAAATGGCGGCTTTACGAGTCGTATACTTTTAAAAAGATAGATTTACTTTCGCGAGACTCTGTTTCCACCTATGCAAATTTGACTTCTCACTTAATCTGTAAAATGTGTTTAAAGAGGCGAAAGATTAGTGCGACTGCGTTAGCCAACAGGATAAACGTGTTGTTGAGTTGTTCCTCTTATGCTACTCTGTTGGTTGAAGGAAACAGATTAGGGGATTTTATTACAAGCCAGAAGAAACTTACTACAGCTAACACCCCAGTAGTCAGTGTGGACCTGGGAACAACAGCAACTGAGAGGTCGTTCCACGCTCTTCAAAACCACTAATCTCCCGATCCGAGGCCTTGCTGCTCGATGTAGTTCATCGTCGTACCCAGGATGAAATGTCAGTCGAAAGTTTGGAATCCACAATTTGAATTATGGTTGTTTTATAAATAAACAACACTCATTAATCGTACAAGAGGAATGTAATCGATACAATACATCGATGTAAAATTTCTATTGGTTTTAATAATTTAAAATGTTTTTTTTTAATCTTTTCACCCCAAGCAAAGGTGATGATGGGACTAAAACGCATGGGTTTACTGAAAGTGGAAAAGAATGAGAAGACTTCAGTGAGAAAAAAGACAATAAAAGAACAGCCTTCAGAAAGAGAGAAGATGGCGAATGGCGTTACATTTAACTTTTTGAAGATTGTAGGCGGCAGGCAAACAAAAAACCGGAAGGGTTTTCCAGAGGCGAGAATACTCGAGAAAAAAAAAGGAACTATTACAATAGAACTAGCTAGCTCAACAGTAAAATAGTGAGACCTAGTTACCAATCCAGAAGTACCCTTTTTTTTAATCGGTATCACTTCAGGCAAGGCAATAAAGCCACTAAGACACAAGGGATTACAGGGTGTGCAAGAATTAGGAACACAAACATTAATAATGAGCGGGAAAAGGAAAGAGTAATCAGGAAGACAGTAGATAGCAATTGACATTGCATTTAAATTTTTGCAGATTAACGTTGGCTGGGACGCAACGGGCTAGAAGAGAGTTCCACAAGCGATAAGTGCGAGAAAAAGAAACTGTTAGCATAGAATTTACGGTTATATCTAGCTAGCTCAACTGTAAATTGATGAGATCTCGACGCCAGTCTCGTACTGCGGTTAACTTTTTTTTTAAATCTAGGTACCAAGGCAAAGAGCTCCTCTGAAAAATTACCACGAAAGTATTTATAGGAAAGACAGAGAGATAGGCAACCTTGGGGCGGTGAGAAAGGAACTGAAGCCGAACTTCCAGATCAGGACCAATAATATTGCTGATTCTTCTTTGGATTTTATCAAGGAACTCAAGGTAAATACCAGGGGCACCGGGACAGCAATATTCTAAGCATGGGCGAATGGTAGACATAGAGATTCTTGATTTCATACAGTCGAGGCACCAAGGCGGAATGCTCATCAGAACAATTTCCATGAAATTATTTGTAAAAAAGACAGAGGGAAGCCACGACACGGCGGTGGAAAGTGACTGAACTTTTTTCAATCAAACCCTATGGCCATGAATAGAAATAATTTGTTTAATTTTGATACCAGTTTCGTTATTCTATCTGGGGAATTATAATAATTATGTAGTAATTTTACATTTGCAAACCTCATAACACATAGATAGATAGATAGATAGATAGATAGATAGATAGATAGATAGATAGATAGAAAAGCCTGATATATATAACAATCTGTTCATTATCTATATATACATATATATCAGTCTGTTCATTATCTATCTATCTATCTATCTATCTCTCTCTATATATATATCAGTCAGTTCATTATCTATCTATCTATCTATCTATCTAGATAGATAGATAGATAGATAGATAGATAGATAGATAGATAGATAGATAGATAGATAGATTTGACGGCTATATTGATGTACATTTGAAAGTTTTTTAATATGCTATCAAGGTTTTTTTAAAGTATTTAAATCTTTATTTACCAATTACCTCACTTATACTGATATTAAAAATACATTAATGCGGTAATATTATTCTTGTGAGCAGCGCATTTATAAATCATTTAAACGAGGTAAGGTCATGAAACTCATATCAAAATGAAGAAAATTTACTTCCTTTCAAAATTACGAGGGTTGAGTCTTCTTTATGCGCCGTGTATTCTCAAGGCGTAAGCCATCATGGCTATCCTCAACTTCCTGTGCTTGTGGCTCTTAATAAACTCTGTCTTTCCGTTACTCCTCCTTAGCCCTGTTTCGTCATCCATTTATTCAAGCTCGCTAGGTAGGTTATGCGTTGTCATCCTTTGTCCTTCTTGCATTCTATCTGTCCTGTGAGTATCAAATTTTCTAATCCCTTCTTCCTCATTATATGCTCCAGAAACCTTTATTGTCTCTTCCTGGTGTTAAATATTAGTTTCCTTTTTGTTTCCATTTTCTCCAAAACTTTACTCGCATGTTTGGTGCTTAGTACCTCCAGCATCCTTCTGTGGAACCATATTTCTGTTGCTTCAAGTGTCCTCTTCATCTTTGAGGAGATCGTCCAGAACTCACCGAGGAGGACAGGCGTCACATAGCAGTTTATTACTCTTTTCCTTTTTTTCTAGCGAAATGTTGTTATTTCTATAAACTATATACGGCAGCAAGGCCTCTGATCGGGAGATTTTGAGAACCGTGGAACTACTTCTTAATTGCTGTTGTTCTAAGATCCTCTATGACACGGAATGGTAATAACTGTTCGTACCCTAGCTATAGACAAATTGTAAACTCCAAACACTATGAAAGTATAAAAATACATTTTTATAGTAAAAATACCAGCAATACCTATTCGTAATGAAATTACCTACATTTTATCTATAGTTGAAATCACTTGATAGTGTTCAAAATATTTATCCTTGGGCATTAAATCACCCATAGAGTTTGATATGCTGCTAAACTAAATGATCCAAGCAAACCATAATAAAACTTCAACCACACTGGAACATAAAACACACATATCATCGTTTCTAGTAATTATGTCCACAAAAGCTGAATATCATCTACCATGTATTTTATTATTTCAAAGCTTCCAAGAAAATTAAATATCGGCATCAAATGACCCATAAAGTATTGATATGCCGTAAAACAAAATCTATTTCTTAGTGCTCTGCTTAGTCAGTGTGGACTCGGGAACAATAGCAACTAAGAAGTCGTTCCACACTCCCCAAAACTTCCAAACTCCCGATCATAGATAGATAGATAGATAGATAGATAGATAGATAGATAGATAATGACCAGATAGATAGATAGATAGATAGATAATGACCAGACTGATAGATAGATAGATAGATAGATAATGACCAGAACTGATATATATATATATATATATATATATATATATATATATATATATATATATATATATAGAGAGAGAGAGAGAGAGAGAGAGAATGAATATCATCTACTATGTATTTTAGTATTTCAAAGCTTCCAAGGAAATTAAATATCGGCATCAAATGACCCATAAAGTATTGATATGCCGTAAAACAAAATCTATTTCTTAGTGCTCTGCTTAATTGGGACGATTAAAATAATTAAGTGGGTGTCAAAATTGGTAGTATATTGTTTCTCATCAAATTTACGTTGGTTGATAAGTAAAGTCTTCAATCGTATAAAACAAGTTTTAGACCAGTCAGTATATGAAGAGTGGTCTCAAAATGTAGCCATTTTATTTCACTTTCAAATTACGAGTGTTGATTGTAAAGGTAACGTCTACAATGCCACCTAAGAAAAGAAAAAAAAACGAACTTTTTTTGGCAACCCTAACCAAAGCGACAGGATTTCGTCTACAGAATAAATAGCAGCTAAAAAAGTATTTCTTTATTTCATTTTTGTACGCGTGGGCAAAATTTCTCCAAGCGAATTTGAGCGTGCTTTTTAACAACGTTGTGAATGAGTGAATGAATGAATCACTTCATTCGATTGGTTAAACACAAAAGAGGTCAGTATTCGCTGTTTGCATGAAAATAGCCACTTTTTATCCAATGGACATAGCACCATAGCAACAGACTCCAGACGACAATAGCAAGAAACGAACCTACACAAAAAGACATGATTTTTATACATTTCATTCTAATCAGATGACTTTGTGGCTCTATTTTTGTCCGGGCTAAGTTCAGGGAGGAGCTTCGAATTTCACTGAACAGCACTAATCGGCAGTTCGCCCAAAATGGCCGCCAAATTTTTTAAGTAGCATCTGTTCATCACGTGACTAGATGAAAACGATTCAACCGGATGTGAGCAAAGAAGAAATTACGTAAACATCGGTCTTATTTCTTGAATATTTTTTCCATCCGATCGATTTTGTATTTAATATGTTCAAAAGTTTCTAGCAAAAAACAAAAAAAAAAACACGATTTTCAGTCGTGAATTCCTCTATAGTTTTCAAAATGAGCCACAATAATTTTTGCACATATCTTTATCCAGGTATTTCTAATGAGCAATATCATGAGCGACGGATCATCTGAACAATTCCTACCCCACTAAGTCCTAAAAATAAATATCATATATATATATATATATATATATATATATATATATATATATATATATATTAAAAGAAGAGAGAAACCGCAAATGTTTTTGGTTGTACTTTTTTATATACACTTTTCTCGTTGGATCTACTATAACCTCTTCCCTTTATATATATATATATATATATATATATATATATATATATATATATATATATATATATATATATTAAAAGAAGAGAGAAACCCAAACGTTTTTGGTTGTACTTTTTAATATACACACTTTTCTCGTTGGATCTACTATAACCTCTTCCCTTTATATATATAATATATATATATATATATATATATATATATATTCAAACATGTTTCATTGAATAATATAGACAAATTGTGTTTACTTATTTTTATACTGATCATTTCCAGTTTTCTAATCAGTTTCATGATGTTAAAATGAAATTCCTCAAGAAAAGCACCGTAGTTTTTCTAACAAATACTTTCGATCTTTTCCAAGATTATCTTTAGGTGTAAATTACAAATACAAACTTATTGTAACTGCGACAAAATCTGCATTCTGTTGTGATGTTGATTTAAAAAAAAAAAAAAAAAGAAAAACACGCGCGAACGCGCTCTATAATTTAAAATTTTAAATTTATCCGTTGTAGCTATGGAATTTTTTGAAAAAGCAAGCGTTTCAATATAAGGGATCTGACTGAAAATTTGTAGGTATGCAAACTAAATGGCATTAAATGTGTGTTATATCCACTTTAATACGTTGCTGTTATACTCGTAATAAATTTTATTGTGTGTAATTTTACATTCTGTAAGTGAAGATTTTAGAGACAATTCAAAATGGCTACCTTATTATAAAAAATGAACAACACTTATTACGTAGAAAATAGGGAATTTGAATGAATAATCAACATAGAATACTTATAAAACTTACGTCTTACAAATATTCTATGTTGATTATTTATTATCATTCCCTATAGATATTTTATAAGTGATATTTGTTCATTTGTTTATAAGGTAACCTTTTATTTCAGATCAAAATTATGGCCTGTTTTATCTCTATGTGATGCTAAATAATTTAATGGTTTATCCTAGTAGACGTTTAATTTGTGCCTCACTGGCTGTGTGGACGTCACGTGTTCATCATTTTGCTTTAAGGTGTATATATTTATATATGTATGTATATATGTAATGAGTCCCGATAAGAATAAAATATAAGAATAAGATATATAAACAAAAAAAAGAAAGAATTCAAATTAAAATAAGTTATATGCGCTTTCCTTTAAAATCCTTATCTATTCCTCTCTCTCTCTCTCTCTCTCTCGCTCGCTCGCTCGCTCGCTCGCTCTCTTTGAACTTCTCTATATATACTTCTCTCTCAACTAACGAGAAGACAACTCTCAAATAAAAAAAAGACTAAACCCGGCCGCAAAAAAGGCGAAAGTTTGCGACCAGTGTCTATTAATTTGTGATTGAAAACTATTAAAACTCAGGGAGGTTCCACGCATAACTTCCTCTAGAAAAAAAATTAAAAAGAAAGGAACGCATGAAAATAAAATAATTTTGGCCAATCAAAAAATAAAATGAACACAAAGAGACTTTTGATGTTAGCCGAAACCAAGGTTCGCGCCAGTAGTCTGGAAGAATACAAACTTAAAGATTAGAACTAGACGAGAAGTGATGGCAAGAGAAACTACGGAACATGGGACGCGACCGCTACAAAATGTGATCTTTTAAGTATGTCAGTAGTACTCAATAATAATAATTATTATTATTAATGCATAGTTATTAGCAAAAGGGTCAGCCCAATATGCAAATTACATATTGGGGATGTCAAAAGCAAACACGCACGACCATTTAAATATCTGGGAAGTGTTTTAACAGAGGACTGAAAGTGCGATACTGAAAACCAAAAGCGCATGAGTGATGCGTGAAGTAGTTAAGAGGTCATCTGCTAATGATATTTCTGTCCTTCTTAGGGCCGAGAAAAACACAGTAGATGAACGCTGAACAATTTCTAAGATTACTACTATCAAGTTCTGACTACCATTATCGATTCGAAATGGACTTTCTCCGGACTGCTACCAATATCCACCTTATAAACGAACATTTTGCTACACCGAATATCAAAGGAATCTCTTTAAATCAAATAAATAAAAGTATATTATTTCTTTTATACACTTGATTCAGTCCTTTTAATTCCAAAGTTTC